GAGTGTGAGTGTGAGTGTGAGTGTGAGTGTGAGTGTGAGTGTGAGTGTGAGTGTGAGTGTGCGTGTGCGTGTGCGTGTGCGTGTGCGTGTGCGTGTGCGTGTGCGTGTGCGTGTGCGTGTGCGTGTGCGTGTGCGTGTGGGTGTGGGTGTGTGTGTGTGTGTGTGTGTGTGTGTGTGTGTGTGTGTGTGTGTGTGTGTGTGTGTGTGTGTGTGTGTGTGTGTGTGTGTGTGCGGGTGGGTGTGCGTGTGCGTGTGCGTGTGCGTGTGCGTGTGCGTGTGCGTGTGCGTGTGCGTGTGCGTGTGGGCGTGGGTGTGGGTGTGGGTGTGGGTGTGGGCGTGTGTGTGGGTGTGCGTGTGCGTGGGTGTGGGTGTGTGCGTGTGCGTGCGTGTGTGTGTGTGTGTGCGTGCGTGCGTGCGTGCGTGCGTGCGTGCGTGCGTGCGTGCGTGCGTGCGTGTGTGTGTGTGCGTGTGTGTGCGTGTGTGCGTGTGTGTGTGTGCGCGTGTGTGTGTGTTCTGGCTTCTGCAGACGCGCGGTCGGCCCCCTCGCGGGGCCTCAGCGACCCGCGCACAGGCCAGCGCATGTACGGGACCCCGCTGGAGCGGGTTCAGCTCTCCCCCATTCCACGGCGAGGACCACGCCGACTCTGTGAAACGCCCTCAGAATCGCGAGCGCCCCGCCGAGACTGGCTACGTCTGCGCAGGCCCCACCGAGCAGGCGCCCGGGCCCTGCGAGGATTTCCCCCGGGCGCGGCATCAGCACTACTGCCGCCCAGTGGAGATGGACGAGGCGCTGCAGCCCCAGGTCAGTTGGTCGGCTGCCCGCGACAAGTTCGCCGGCCGGGCTAAGGGCGAAGGTGCCCGGGCCGAAAGGCCAGGGCAAAGGGCAATGGGGCGACGGCGCCTCCCGCCGGGCACGCCACGGGGACTCCAGGCGGGCCCTCCCCGGGCGACGACGATGGTCGGGGCCGTCGCAGTCGGTGCTCGGCGGCGCTGCTCTGGCGCCCGAGGCCACTGGGGCACCCCCATCGGGCCTTCGCGCCCTGGCCAACGTCCTCGGTGAGTCCCTTCGTTTCTGTCGATTGGCTCCGCAGTGGAGGCGCTCTCGCATTGCGTCGGCCTCTCGCGGTTTCCCCCCGCCGCCCCAGCCTCGCGCTTGAGGTCGCTGGAACCCCCCCCCACCCCGGTCGCCAGGGCGCAGCCTTTCTTTGCTCCGCGGCCACTGGGCACCCTGAGGTCGGCCTGCTAGCCCCTTCCATTTCGGGGTGCCCCCGGGCTCTCGGGCCTGCGGCTCGCTCGCGGTCGCCGCCCCTGCCCGCCCGGGGTCGACGGGCGCTCGGCCCCCCCCGCGCTGCCTCCTCCAGGGTCGGCTTGTGCCCCCGCCTAGGGCGCCGCCAATTTCAGCTCAGGACGTGGCCTTTTTCCGCTGGCTCGTCGCCTTCGCTGTCGGTGCGTTGCCTTGGCGTCGCCCCCCTACTCCCCCGCCGCGGTGGCGCTTCTGCCGCCGGCGCGTTCCCGTTCTCGGCGATCCAGAACTCTTCCGCTGAGCGCCTGCATGCCCGTTCGTCGTCCCCGCCTTCGTGGACTTCCTGAATTCCGCCATTTTGGTGCTGCACCTGTGCCAGTATCTCCTCCCGGTCTGAGCCGCGGCGTAGCTCGCTCCAGTGCGTTCTTGTGCGGGATTTAGTCCGCTGTTTGCGAGCCGCGTTGCTTGACGGCGCTTGGCTTTCCTGCGCGCTTGCGAGGAACAAATCATCCCCACCACTTCAACTAGAACCGATGCGCAGGGGCGTTGAGGTGATCAGGGCAGTGGGGGAGAATAAAAAATGGCGGGGGCCTCTCGGGGTCGCCTGGGCGCCTTTGGGGGCCTTCATGGCGCGTTCTCGGGTGCCTTGGGATCGCTGTTGGGGCAATTTTTGAAGACGTCGATCAAACAGAGGGCGTTCTCCAATGTTTGTCGCCGCTTTAGAGTGCCTAAAATCGCCTATTGGGCCCCTCTTGGGGCGCTCTTGGGCGCTCTTGGGGCCGTCTTGGGGCTCACCTGGGCCCGACTTGGGGCCCTCTTGGGTCTTCTTGGAACCATTCTGACGCCTCGGAACGCGATCGGAAGCGAAACGGCGAAAAAGCAACACACATTGATTTCCCGCAGGTTTTGGAAGGATGTTGGCCTCTTCGGGGCCTCTTTGGTGGGTTCTTTGGCCACGCTTGGAGCGGTATTGGGTCCTCGTGGAGCATCGTGGGAGTCATCTTTAGGCATCTCTGGATATCTTGAAGCATCGTGGAGCTCATCTTGGGCTTTCCGAGGCGCTCTTGGGGCCATCTTGGGCCATCTGGGACGCCCCAACCCCTCGGGGGACCCCCCGTCCAGGTCCAGGGGAGGGGGAAGGGGGAGGGGTCAAGCTACCCACAAGCCGTCGAGCTCACTCCCACCCGCCCTCCCAACGCACAAGTAACACCCGAGCCTGAGCACGCTCAGCGGTCGTCTTTAGGTGGACAGCTACCGGGAAACAAAGCCGACCCCAGGTGCGCGACGCTTGGGCGAGGTGCGCCACGCGTGCCATGGGCGCCACGCGCGCTGGGCAACTCTCGGGCCCGAGCGTGCCAGGCATGCCTGGTGCGCTAGACGCGCCACGTGCTCCGAGTGCGCCAGGTGTGCCGCACGCTCCGGCCGCGCCAGGTGCGCCACGTTCGGGGCACGTGCAGAGTGCGTCAGGTGCGCCTGCGCACGTGACAGCACGCATCGACATTTCGGCCACCACTGTCCTTGTCGAAAACCAATGCCCATCATTGTGCCTGGTGGGCCTGCGCACAGCAGGCCACGCGCCACCAATCACGCGGTCCCTGTCAAAAACAATTTGACAGTGATCGCGGGATGGCCGCCGATGATCCAGATCTAGCCGCGAGGTGCATCTTGTATTGTTTTTGCCAGGAATGGTCGCCCTGCGCGCAGCGGGGAATATGCTGACACCCCCGCCGTCCCTGTCAAAAACAATACAAAGTGCTCGCGGGCCTCACGAACATGACTCAGAACCTTGCCCCGAAGTGGCCACGGCTCAGGGCTCCAAGAGGTAACGCCCAGAGGACCCCATAGAGTAGTAAGACAGCCTGGAATGGCTCCAGAAGCAGCCCAGAAATGCCCACGAGAGCCCCGAGCACCACAAAGTCAGCCCAGCAGGGCTCCCAGAGAGGCCCATGATGACCCAGGGGAGGCCCAAGAAGACCCAAAAGGCTGCCAAGACAGCCCGGCATGGCCCCGATTGCTACCCCAAACGGGCCAAAATGGCCCCCAAGGCGCCCAAGATTGTCCAAGAGGGTTTTCGGGGAGGCCCAGCGCGACCCCCTGGGGGGGGGGGAGGGTGGGCGGGAGGGGCGGGGGGCAGGTGCACGCTATACAGGCCCCAGCTCCAGCAAGGAGCAGGACAGCTCAGGGCTCCAAGAGGTGGTGTCTAGAGGGCCCCATAGAGTCGCAAGGCAGCCTGGGATGGCTCCAGGAGCAGCCCAGAACGGCCAACGAGAGCCCCGAGCACCACAAAGACAGCCCAGCAGGGCTTCCAGAGAGGCCCAGGACGGCCCAGGGGAGCCCCAAGAAGACCCAAAAGGCCGGCAAGACAGAACGAGGGGTCAGGTGCACGCTATACGGGCCACAGCTCCAGCAGGGGGACGACGGCTCAGGGCTTCAAGAGGTGGCGTTCCGAGGCAGAGAGTTGTAAGACAGCTTGGGATGGCTCCAGGAGCAGCCCGGAAGGAGGAGGACGAGGAGGAGGAGGATGCAGACGTGGCTCGGGCCTGCGGAGGGCGAAAGGCAGAGTCTCTCACGTCGGACGTACACGCTAAACGCGGTACGACGTGCACGCTGAACGCGGTACAAACGGGTATACATGCTCACGTGTTTCGACGTGCACTCTATACGACTCCAGTTTAGAGTGCATGTCACAGTCTTCTTGTCATTCTATATGTGGCTACTTGACCGTAGCATCTGCACGACTAAGGCTGCGTTCTCGTAGCAACTTAATATTGAGCAACACATGGGTCCCATTGTCGATCCCCTGCGTAATCGAGTGTAGCTTGGACGTCCTGGGACGTGTGGCAGGCCAGTGGCCTGCTCTCGGCGCGCGTGCCGTGCACCCTTTCAGGAGCAGCGGCCCGTCTACATGAGCAACCCTGCAGCGTAATTCCTGCCAAGGGCTAGGCATCCCTACATGGGCCCGCGCAATCAGCGGTCAGGGTCTACCCTGACCGCTGGCAATGCCCAAAGCTTCGGGTTGGCCCGATCAGATGAACAACATTGCCCGCCGGGCTGGTCTGTTCGAATCAGCGCAAGGGGGTCTGTTTTGAATTTGCTCTGCAGTGGTCTGTAGCCTTTGACCCTAGGAAGAAGTAGTTTTGTTCCTGAGACACCAGACTGATTTAGCCGTGTGGTCAGCATCACCCCAGTACACGAATACTACGTTACGTCGCCCCCCCTCAGGGCCGACGCGCGCACCGAGGAATCTTACATCATATGCGTCGTGGGGGGCGTTTTCTGGCCACGCCGCTCGGGAAACGATACGCTACAAGTCTTGTATACTATATGCTCGGGTCGGACGTACGCCTCCAAGGAGGACCTACAGCACTAGTATGTCCATGTGTGTCTTAACACAACCTTTTGAAGGCCTTTGCGAATGTGACAGCGATATGCGAGGGAGGCCAGATGGCGTTGCCACATTGTCTGAGCATTCAGCGTTATTGAGGCGTGGAGACAAGGGGGGCGGATTGGATGGAAAGGACGGGACTACGGGAATCAAGAGGAGGTGAGCCCAGGGCAGCGGGGGAAAAACTGCATACATAGGAATTGTCGGAGTTCTGCCCGGATTTCTTGGATTTGGGCTGGAACCTCCTGGCGGCGCCTCCGGTGCCGACCCTAGCGCGCGGAACGCGCCAGTGAGAGGGATCAGCGCAGATCCAAGACAACCGCGCGGCTCTCCAGAAGTGTCTGTTTATGCAATTGTTCCGTCCTGTAGAAAATGCAATTGCAGAGTGCGCGTTATCCCGATCCGCCTGAGGATGCGACAGATATTGTTGATATCGAGTTGTACAAGACCCGAATGCAGGAGAACGAAGAGGCTGAAGAACCTTCCCCAACTCCGTCTCGTTCCTGCTCGTTATCCTTCCTCCTGAATTGCTGTATCATTTGTTTTGTTCCTTTTGTTTTCTTTCTCTCTCTCTCTCTCTCTCTCTCGCCCTTTCTCTCTTTCTCTCTTTCTCTCTCTCTCTCTCTCTCTCTCTCTCTCCTCCCCCCCTCCTTCCTCTCCTGTCGCTTCCCTGCGCCAGCTCGGCCCTGATCAAGGGCCCCCGAACCCGCGCCACGGGCGCCCCTCGAGCCGCCCCACCTTTCTCTCCTCCCCCGCCGCGGCCGCCCTCGGGTACCCCCCGCCTCGCGCGGGATGGACCTCGCCTCGGCTCGGCGGCCCCGGTGGCCCAACCGGTCGGCGGCGGAACGCCGCGCGCAGCAGGCGCGGGCGCACGGTCGCGCCGCCTTCCACCTCCTGGCCGCTTTCGAGGAAGTGCGTGGCCATCGTGGGCAGTCGCTCACCTGCTGGGGGGGGCGTTGCGCGACGCTCTGGCCGCCCGCTTTCGCCGTGGCGATGCTGGCGACCGTGGTGCTGGTGAAGGAAACGGACAGCGTCGGCCATGCGACATGCCCGACGCCGCGGCCGACCTCGACGCCGCGGTCGTGGAGGCGTCCATTGTCTTCAACGTGGCCACCGAGCTCGTGGCCGAGCTGGAATCGCTCTGCCCCGCGGCTGATGTGGCGAGCGTCGCTTCCCCGCCCGCGTCGGATGCGGCTGCGGCCGCCGTGCTTGCCCTTGGGGCGTCGCGCCCCCCCCCCCCCGAGGCCAAGCCTTGACGGCGACGCGAGTTTCGCGGAGGACCTCGCCGTCCTTCGGCGGCTGGCGGAGGAGACGGCCGCAGCCGCGGCCGCAGTCGTGGCCGCCCGCGACGCTGCGGGAATTCACGACGCCCGAGGTCGAGGTGCAGGAGCAGCGCGCGGAGGCCTGGCGGTGGATGCGCGGAAAGCGCCCCCCGCGGGCCTGCTCGCTCCCTCCCGCGCGCCCGAAACCGCCGCAGGACCCTCAACGGCTGGCGAGGGCAAGGGTGATGCGCGAGCATCGCGCCCATGCGTCCGCCATGGACGAGCTCCGCGCCGCCGAGGCTGTCCTCTCAGCTGCGGGGCTGCCAGCTCCTTCTCGGCCGCCTGTGCAGCGAGCTGGGCTGCAAGGGTGAGTGCGGTTCCGTGGAGCGTCAGTGCCCCTCCCCCCCGTCCCATCCGGAGTGCTGCGGCGGGCCTGGCATGCACTTCCACGAGGCCGCTTGCCGATTTCGGAGTTCTTCGACCCGTACGACCTGGTGCTTGCGGCTTCGGGCCGGGGCGGGGCCGCCTTGCCGCGTCCGCGTCGCTGGCCGCCTAGCTCCGCGCATTTTGCGTGCCGCGTCGCCCGCGTGGGCGGCCAAGGGCGGCGGGGGCGGTTGGTCGCACCTGTCCGCTTTTCGGTGTTCTGTCGCTCTCATTCACTCTCCTGCCGCTTCCTTCAAAAACTCCCCCTTCTCTCCTCCCTCCTCCTCCTCCTCCTCCTCCTCCTCCTCCTCCTCCTCCTCCTCCTCCTCCTCCTCCTCTCTCCTCCTCTCTCCTTCCTCCTCCTCCTCCTCCTCTCTCCTCCTCCTCCTCCTCCTCCTCCTCCTTCTCCTCCTCCTCCTCCTCCTCCTCCTCCTCCTCCTCCTCCTCCTCCTCCTCCTCCTCCTCCTCCTCCTCCTCCTCCCCCTCCTCCTCTCAATAGTATCATATTATTATTTTGTTCCTGGCCCCCTCCCTCCCATTTCCTCTGCCCTTCCCCCCTTCCCCCTGTTCATTCCCCATTCATTTTTCCCAACCGATCTGTGGTGTGGGGTCCTCGTTTTGAAGTGACAGCGCCCCGCGTTCCTCTCCTCTCCTCTCCTCCTCCTCCTCCTCCTCCCCCTCGTCGTCCTCCTCTTCCTCCTCCTCCGCCTCTTCCTCCTCCTCCTCCTCGTCCTCCTCCTCCTTCTCCTCCTCCTCCTCGCTTCCCATCACCATCATCATCATCACCATCATCATCATCATCATCATCATCATCATCATCATCATCATCATCGTCATCGTCATCATCATCATCCCCTCCCTCTCCCTACACCATCGTCACCATCGTCACCGTCGCCCACCATCCATCAGCATCATCATCTGCAGCATCATCCTCATCCACATCCTCCTCATCCTCGTCACCATCATCGCCCCCGCCGCCCATGTCGTCACGCCCCTCGCACGTTTCGTGGCCCCACAGGGAGCCCCACCTAAGGCCACAATGGCGGTTTTCGCATGCGTCCCCCCCACGCAGGACATCGTTCCGTGGCCTCATAGGGAGCTGCACCGAAGGCCCCACTGAGGGTGTTCGCATGCGTCTCCCCCACCCAGGACAGCGTTTCGTGGGCCCATAGGGAACTCCACCGAAGGTTTCAATCGGGGTGTTCGCATGCGTCTCCCCCACCCAGGACAGCGGGCCCCATAGGGAGCTCCACCGAAAGCCTCGATCGGGGTGTTCGCAGGCGGCTCCCCAACCCAGGACAGCGCTTCGTGGCCCCATAGGGAGCTCCACCGAAGGCCCCACTAGGGGTGTTCGCGTGCGTCTCCCGCACCCAGGACAGCGCTTCGTGGTCCCATTGTGAGCTTCACCGAAGGCCCCAATAGGGACGTTCGCATGCGTCCCCCCCGCCCAGGACAGTATTTCGCGGCCCCAGGGGGCTCCACTGAACGCCATAATCGGAGTGTTCGCATGCGTCTCCTCCACGCAGGACAGCGTTTCGTGGCCCCACAGGGAGTTCCACCGAAGGCCCCAGTGGGGGTGTTCGCATGCGTCTCCCCCACCCAGGACAGCGCTTCGTGGCCCCATAGGGAGCTCCACCGAAGGCCCCTCTGACGGTTTTCGCATGCGTCTCCCCCACCCAGGACAACGCTTCGTGGCCCCATAGTGAGCTCCACTGAAGGCCATAATCGGAGTGTTCGCAGGCGTCTCCTCCGCGCAGGACAGCGTTTCGTGGCCCCACAAGGAGCTCCACCGAAGGCCTCACTGGGGGTGCTCGAATGCTTTTCCCCCACCCAGGACAGCGCTTCGTGGTCCCATTGTGAGCTTCACCGAAGACCCCATTAGGGGTGTTCGCATGCGTCTCCCCCACCCAGGACAACGCTTCGTGGCCCCATAGGGAGCTCCACCGAAGGCTTCAATCGAGGTGTTCGCATGCGTCCCCCCCACCCAGGACAGCGCTTCGTGGCCCCATGGGGAGCCCCACCGAAAGTCCCAGTGGAGGTGTTCGCATGCGTCTCCCCCGCCCAGGACAGCGTTTCGTGGCCCCATAGGGAGGTCCACCGAAGGCCCCACTGAGGGTGTTCGCATGCGTCTCCCCCACCCAGGACAGCGCTTCGTGGCCCCATGGGGAGCTCCACCGAAGGCCATAATCGAGGTGTTCGCATGCGTCTACTCCACGCAGGACAGCGCTTCGTGGCCCCATAGGGAGCTCCACCGAAGGCCCCAGTGGGGGTGTTCGCATGCGTCTCCCCCACCCAGGGCAGCGCTTCGTGGCCCCATCGGGAGCTCCACCGAAAGCCCCAGCGGCCGGGTTCGCATGCGTCCGCGCCACCCAGTACAGCGCTTCGTGGCCCCATAGGGAGCTCCACCGAAGGCCCCAGTGGCTGCATTCGCATGCGTCTCCCCACCCAGGACAGCATTTCGTGGCCCCATAGGGAGCCCCACCGAATGCGTTGCTCACAAAGACGGTACTCACAACTGCATATGGTTGGATCCTTCGCCAGGCTAATTTCCCTTAACGCCCTTCGCGCCTTGCTCTCCTCTCCCAGGGAGATGAACACGAGGGGCCGAACTATGTGCCGTGGCGGCCTGGCGCCACGCCGGCCGCCAAGCCGCGTGCTTAGCTGGAGGAGGAGTAGGAAAAAGAGGGGGACAGAGGAGGACGAGGAGGTGAACGAGGAGGAAAAGGAGGGGGGGAAAAGGAAGAGGAGGAGGGAGAGGATGAAGAGGAAGAGGAAGGGGACGGACAATAGGACAGAGGGGGGAGGGAGGAGGAGAAACAAATAAGGAGGAGGGCTGAGGAACAGGGGGCGGGAGGAGGTGGAGGAAGTCCACGACATGATGTTTTTTGGGGGGAAGGGGGGCAGCAACACGTGGGATGACAAGAAAGAGGGGGGGAGAGGGAGGGGGGCAGGATGAGGTGGCAGTAACTCGAGACGGCGCGTCTGATACATTTGACGATTGATTGACTTATTTTTGGAACTTGGGAACTTTTTCCAACGCGGCTACCAATGAAGATGGCAAGCGGCCCATCCCGCCAGGTTGTGAACAAACGGCCTTTAGATCTTGGTTCGCCTTTTGGAATCCTCTTGGGGCACGGCTTGCTGTGTTGGGGCCATATTGAGGTGGATGGCTTCAGCACGTTCAAGTTCGAGTGTGTCTTTTGGGACGCTCCTGTGGGCATTTCGGGAGCCTCCTGCGCCCCAGTCAGAGGCATTAGAGGCTCTCCTCGGCGCCTCGGAGGCTCTCTTTGACGGGTATTCGGGGCCTTTTGGGGCGATCTTCGACGTCCTGTTAACCAAATGACAGACAATTCGAACATCATTCAGCCGCATTGTTGTTTTCAGTGAGCTTGGCCTCTGGGTCTCGCCCCCGCGGTCTCCAATATGTCCCACGGGTCCCACAATAGAGTCGCAGGTCGGTCCCTTGGGGTACTGGAAACAAAACTCGTTCGCCTTTTCGGGCGCTGATTGGGCAGAAGGCATCGCTTTGTGCAGCCAGCGCCCGAGTCTGAATTGGACAGTCCCACGCAACGTAATCCAGACCTCGCGGTCAATTGGCTGTACGTTTTCACCGACCTTAGAGAGAAAGGAGAGGATGATGAAGAGATGGAGGACTAAGAGGAGGAAGAGGAGGAAACCTTTGGGGGCCCTCTTGCCGCTTCCTGGGGGCTTCTGAAGGGCCGCGAAGCTTTTCAGGGGGTTTGCCTCCTGGGGGCCTCTTGGGGGCCTCCTTGGGACCTCTTGGGCCGTCCCCTGAAGATTTCTTGGACGATCTGGTGATCTCGAAGGTCGTCTTAGGGCCCTCTTTGGGCGGTTCGGGTCTGTCTTGGTGGCCTCACCCTGTTCTCACTAAGCCAGCAGGACAGGGCCCCAGAGCGGCTTCAGGGATGTCTGTTCGTCTTCCCGGGCCGCTTTTGGTCTCCAAAGGAGCAGGGTGAGGAAGAGTTGAGGGAAGGGGGGGGGGATGGGGCAGCAGGAACGGATTGCCAGGGTGGGTCCCGGGCGCTGCCACATCACTCATGTTACTCATGTAGGCAGTCGGTCCATCGAGCAGGCGTCATTTTGACAAGAATTTGCCTGTGCCAACCTGTTCGCTGCTACACCGCCGCCGCTTAACTTGTAAGCGTCTGCCGCGTGCAGCAGCAGAGGAGCTAACTCGATTGTGTGTGTGTGTGTTGTTAGTTTATCCCTTTCACTTGCATGCTGCTGCAGCTCATTGTGTGCACAGGCGGCATATAGGTCTGATCGCAGTTGGTCGCAGATGGAAGATAGAGCAGGAGCAAGAACACCCCGACGAGAAGCAGGGAGCATGATGAGGATACCTTCGGGGATTACCTTTTGAGTGGCACTCGACATAGCTGGAGGATAGAGATGTGGGGGGGAGGAAAAGGACGAGGGGGAGCAGGATGAGAGGAGACGAGGAGAGGGGAGGAGGGAATTGGTTCGACTGGGGAGGTGGTCTGGCCCGCTCCATCGATCCATGCGGCGTGAGCACACTCAGGATACGGGTCGTCAACTCCGGGTGGAGCACCAAGATGTTCCTCGAGCAGGCTCTCATATTCCTCCAAACTCCTTCTCGAGGTTCGAGGATCCAGGCTTCTGCCGGCTTCTGGCCCGCTTTGGGCTCGCGGCGGCCCCTTCGGGGTCTCCCGTTCCTCTTCCTCCTCCTCCTCCTCCTCCTCCTCCTCCTCCTCCTCCTCCCTCAGGATGCATCTCCTTGGAGGTTCAATGTTACATCGGTGGCCGAAAACCAGGATGCTCTGGCCGAGTCCTGCTTCATCCGGCCAAACATCCTGGGCCTGATTTGGCTCGATCTGGCTTCACGGCCCCTTCTTCGGGCCTCAGTGACCCTACTATCGTTCTTACGGAGACCTCCCAGAAGTTGCCTCCTCACCTCCCGCGTGCCCCGCTGACAGGCCAGCCGCGTCGGATCGGCTGGGTCGACCAGGGCATCTGCCTCGCTCCGCAGGAGGTCGAAGGAAGGCAGGGTGAACCCGGCCAGGAAGAGGACCAAGGAAGGCAGCGTCCCAAGGAAGAGGCCCGAGGCCCGGCAGGGTGAACCCGGCCAGGAAGAGGCCAGTGACTCCGATGCGCCCGACCGCGACGACGGCAGCCACATCGGCAGCTCGAGAGGCTCCGAGGGCGGCAATCAGGGGCAACGTTGAGGGGGGATTGGTTCAGGGGGGAAACATTGACCTGAAATCGGCGATACATCGCCGATAGATCGGCGAGGGTCCCAAGATGGCAAATCCAGACGTTCCGAACTCGACAGCATGCGACGGGGCCCGCCATGCGTGCGCGAGCTGCGCGAACGGGCCCCGGCTCTTGGGCTTGAGCTCAAATGGGCGATGGGCCCAGGGGGGGACGCATCGGCCCGCCATCGCCCACCGATCGCCGAGAAGGGCCCCGCAGCCCCAACCTGCCCAGGAACGTCCGGACTCGCCATGCGGGGCCCACTGCCGATCTACCTCGGATATAGCCAGGACCCCAGGTAAGGGGACCCGGTCAGTAGTAGGGCCTCGGAGCCCCTCGATCGGCCAGAGTCACTAAACCAGGTCTGCCGTAGCTGGTGTTTTTTCGGGAGACGGCAGTTCCGGTTAGTGGGACGGGACGGGGGGGGCGCCCCCCAGTGCAAATCACTAAACCAGGTCTCACTAAACCCAGTTCTGCCAACGCCCGATTATCGGCGATGTATCGCCGTTTTCAGGTTGCTGTCTTTTCCCCGAGTCAGTTCCCCCCCCCTGGCGTTGCCCTTCAGGCAGCATCCGTGGCTCCGTCCGGGTGTCCCAGTCGTCAGCAAGGACATCATCCAAAGCGCTGCGCGATGTCCCACACGACCCCTTCCCATTCGTCCTTCGTTCTTCCCCGCTCCTCGCCGCCCTCCACTTCTTTCGGAGGCAGGCCTCCCACTGGTAATGGTACCCCCTCCCTCGTTTTCGCCTTGTGGAGCCTAGGGGGGGCTCGTCGCTACGGCTGGATTCACCTCAGAATCCTGGTCTACCCGTCACCACGCGCCCACGAAGATACCTTTCCTTTATTTTCTGTCTTTTTCGGATTCTGTGTGTTTTAACACAAGGTTTCACTTGTTGTTTCCCGCATGGCTTTGCTTTTTTTTTTTTTTTTTTTTAAAAAAAAAAAAAAAAAAAAAAAAAAAAAAAAAAAAAAAAAAAAAAAAAAAAAAAAAAAAAAAAAAAAAAAAAAAAAAAAAAAAAAAAAACGATCCGATTGTTGTCGCTGATGGTGCTCCCGCTGTAGTGCGGGCCTCATTGTCGGATCGGCGCTTTACTCCCGTCGTTCAGAGTGGCGCTCTCTCCGTGGGCCACTTTTCTGGATCCGAAAGACTTTTTATAGTTGTCACCTCCCTCATTTCCCCTCCTCTGCCTCCCCTGCCTGCTCCTCCTGCTCTTCCCGCTCGTTCCGCTCAAGTTCCTGCTGCTCCCTTGTAGCAGTCGCGACGCAGCGTGCGAGTTCCGTGCTCGCCGTAGCCGCTCGCGCTCGAGCGGCTTTCCGGGGCGGCGGATGGGAGGTTTCGGCGGGCCCTTCTCTCCGTCTGGCTCTTCGGCACTGGGCTTAGGTCGGACCTGTCCCTCTACAGGAGGAATACTCAAATGGAGGAATATTCAAAAGTAGTAAAACATAGTCTGGGGGCCATGGTTTGAGTATTTCTTGAATGCTTGTTTTGTACAGTTGTTGAACATGTTGTTAATTTTTTGTTCAAGATCAGCCTGTAGGGGGACACGCCCGACCTAACACTGGGCATGGCGGGCGATATCGCGGCTGGATTCGAGGCGGGCCTCGGGGTCGGCCTGTGTGCGCTCGCCCCCTCCCTCTCGGCCAGCGCCTGCCCGAGCTCGCGGGGCATCGTGGGGGGCCCCAGTGCTGCTGGGCCTGTCGGTGGCAGGCGTGGTGCTCGCCGTCTCGGGCGTGCGCGCTGCTGGTTCTCGAGACGCGGGCCCTGTGCTGTTCGTGGTGCGCGACGATTCGGCTGGCGCTGGAGGGCGCCTTCGCGCTCAAACGGCCGCTGGTGCAGGCTCCTTGTCTGGTACAGCCTCGAGCGGATCACAACAATGGTGTCGAGGCCGCGAAAGCGGAAGCTCTCGGGCTTGAAACCCGGGGGCATGGCATTCGTCAGCTACGGCGCGGACGGGGAACTTTGGCATGAACGTTTGATTGTCGCAGTCGTGGGCGGCTGCACTCACGTTGTGCTGACGCCAGACGGCGACATCCACGCGGAGACGATCAGCTGGGAATACATCGAAGACTTCGGCGAAGGGGGCCCTCGCGGGAAGTTTCCGCTTGGGCTTGGCGCGGCGCGCGGCCAGCTGGTGCATGGGTTTCAGGAGCGGCCTTCCGGGCGAGAGTGGAATGAACTCTTGCAGATCGCGGAGAGGCACATGTGAGGCCTGTCCGCTGAGGAACCGAATCCGCAGCCTGAAAAGCAGCAGGTGCTGGGGCCGCGCCGATGTAAGGGCTGGCAGCGGTTCCTACGGAGGCCGACGAGTCTCTGGGAGTCTTCAGGTGGGTCAGTGTTTTGGGGTCGTCCGCGGTGCTCGTGGGTAATGCGTTCCTCCTTCCCGAACGCCTCAGTTCCCGCCGGACCAGTTCGAGAGCGTGTGCGCGATGGGGTTGTACGACTTGTGGCTGCGTGGCGACCCCGCCGTGCTGCGCCGCGTGGAGGACGTGGAGCAGGTTGAGTAGTCAATGCGCCCCTCCGCGCGACCAGGTTCATGCCCGTCTCACCCGTCTTGCTTGCTTCTCACTGGCTGCTTCTGTCCTTGCTTTGGACATTCTCTGCTCCTGAAGCTTACTTTTGTGGTTCAGATATAGTGGAAAAGGAGCGTGCTGCCGGGCGCGCGCGCCGAGGGGCGTCCCCCTCGTCGTTGTCGTGTCGTCGGCTGGCCGCAGTCCTCACTTCAGTATTATCTCTGTTGCATGCTTAACGGCATTATCCTTTCTTGCCCAGGTCTCCCACGAAGCCCATTGACTATGGGACATCATCGGGGCATATTGCTGGGATAACGAATCGCCAGGCAAAATATTGGTTATCATCCGAAACAACGGCGCAGCCGTTCGCTTCGGGGAGCATGGGGTCCCAAGAAGGAACGTTCGGGAGAACAGAACATCGTGAATCTTCCGAGCGTGACGCAAGTATGACCAGGCGATGGAATTCTCTTGTTCTTCCCAGTAAGAAAGCATCAGGGACTATGTTCGATTTAACAGAAGGAGACTCGTCGGTTGATTCAGGGAGAAGGTCCATTGAAGTACACTCGGGTAGAAGGGATGGCACAGCCAGAACATCTAAAAAGGGACCCTCTGAAGTGGTGTTGGCGCACCCTGGATCTCAGAAGTCGATAGACCTAGACCTTGAAATCGAATGGTTGTTGGGTCACGCTCCTTTTGAAGTCCCGGGTGTCGAGAATCTGGGCACTGGGAGCGCGGTTCGGAATACCTTGCGCGGGGAGGATGAGGATGTGAGCGACATGCAATCGGAGGGGGACTTTTCCCATCCGATAGAAATGAATGAGGAATCTGCTCGATTCCACACTTCGCCTCGTCCGTCACGTCACCTGGAACCCCCTCTGGATTTGAGTGCTGATCATGTATCTGACCATGTGATGTTTGAGGCCAGCCAAAAAGTCATTCTTGATTCGGACGATGAATGCAAATATACAGAAAGGCGAATTCAAGATGAGTTCTCATCGGCACAGCCGATCATGAGCTCCCCGGACGCTGCGCGCGCGGCGAGGAGCGCGCGAGAGGTTGCAGGGGCGACTCCTCGTCCGTTGACGAAACCGAGGAGTGAGAACGACGACTTGAATGTCTCGCCTTCACCGCGAAGTTTTTACATACCACATTTCTCATTGCCTGGAACAAGTAGAGATAGAGTGCCAGAACTTGATGAGCTTGTTGTTCAGGGCGAGCGAGATGATTTGGCAGGGAGCATGGATGTAGATAATCCAGCGAGGGGTGTCAGGACAAGAGAACAACACACTCCTACCCTGAACGGTGAGTGGGGGCGCTCCAGCAATGCCCCCAGGGCCGGGCGTTCCAGTTCCAGAGGGTTTAACGCCTTTGGTTCGCCGCGAACCTCATCGAATAGAACCGCCAGCAGTTTTTCGATGTGGGAAGTTTGCTGGGATGCCGGGCCAATGCGCTCTGCCCGCGCGGAGAATCGGCGCCCCGGGAAAGCGCGCGAACCGGGGGGGTCACGTCGAAGACCCGCGTGTTCTCAACGCTCGAATGTTTGCCCCAAGCGTAGCCTAGCATGGCCCTGCAATGAGTGCATCACGATGGAAGAGCACCATTGCCATCATCTTGCGACCCAGGAATGGACTGAAAGAAACAGACAGGATCGAGAGCAGCTGAGGGCTGCGAGCGCGCGCACAACAGTCTTTCTGAGGTCCAGGTCAATGGGCAGGCTGCCGAAGAGGCCCAACGCCGACTCGCAATTTCTGAGGCCGAAAAGCAGGCAATTGCGCGGAGGATGGAGCATGAGAAAACCATCATTGTTGAAGATGCGCAGAAATTGATGCAGCGCGCCGAGGCTAATGGCGCGGGCGTCACGAAAAACAAGGCGGCGCCTTGCTCAAGAGGACATTGAGAAGCCGAAGATCCCGAGTGTAGCAGACAAGCCGGTGTCTGACCGACAGCAGAAATCAGAGAGAGAGAGAGAGAGCTACTTGCAGAGAGATGGTTGATGCCGCGGGGAGGGCAGGAGAGAGAGAATCTCGAGAACCGGCAGCGCGAGAACATCAAGAGCTAAGAGGTCAACTCGAAGCTGCTAAACTCGAGGTAGATAGAGCAAAGCCAGACGCATTGCGAGCCCTTAGAGAACAAGGACAACATACCCAGGCAACAAGAGAGGAGGACCATGAACGAATGGCCGATGCCGTGGAACGTTTTAAGGGGCAAGCATGATAGCAGATACGAAACAACGCCCTTGCAACTCGGGCAGTCAGTGAAGAAAACATGAAGTTGAGATCTGACCTCGAGCAGCGGCGAATGGAGGAAGAGGCTGATTCGTCACCGGCACAGCCGATGCATGTTGAGCCGCCCCCTTGCCCTATCGTTGCTCGACCTGCTAAGGCGCCAAGTGGGTCGAGAACCCTTGCGCGACCTGACGCCCCCAACCATGCCTGTCATGTTTGCGCGCAGCTTTCGTCCGACACATGCAAGGGTTGCGCGATGCATGTGCGCAGTGACCATCTGGACTTGGGCACCAAACGCTGCGACGATTGCGCTTGGAGGAAAATGTCAGGATATCGCGTTGAGAACGACGAGAAGAAAGAGCCTCGATATGCATGGCGCCCCGAACCCAAGTAACGCCCATGATGAGAAGGCACCGAGACACTCGGTTTTGCCCGCGGATGATAAACCTGAGCGACAGGTGAGTAATGTTGCTGATATTATGGGGATGCCAGTCGTCAAATCGGGGAGGCCAGGCCATGACGCAATGCCACTTCTAACTGCTCCGCCAATACCTACGCTTCCTTTTGCAAAATCGCATCTCGTTCCAGGGCCAGCTGTTGAGAAGACCTGGGCAAGAAGTCAGACTTCGGCATGGGGGGCGGGGGGGGGGCCCGGGGGGTGATCCCCGGGATCGTTCTTTTCTGCGAGGATATCGGGCCATCCTAATGCCTTCATTGCCTGGGCACCTTCCTTTTACAGTCGGCACAGCCGCGACTGGAGAAGGAGGCGGGGGCCCGGGAGGGCATGATGCCGATCGGAGAGATTATCAAAGCGCAGCTCCCAGCGCAGGAATGATCGTTGCCTTGCATTTTGATGAGACGGGTAAGTCCAAGCCGCCCAGGGCCCCCCAAAGAAGACCGGGGGGCGATGGCGACCCACTGGAGATGGCCGCGGGGGGCCTCATGGCCACAGTGACCCCGCGTGGCGACGATTCCATGCTAATCAAATTGACACCAAGTGGAGAAATTTCGCAAACAATAAAGAATTTAAGTTACTCGATATACTGAGTGTTCAGACTCTCCGAGAATGGAAGCAGCATTGCGTTAGAGTTGTCGCTGGATCGTGGCATGACGCCCACGCAGCACAGGCGTGG